CCCCAAAACCCCAAAACCCCAAAACCCCAAAACCCCTAGGTATTTATATGGCATTGAAATTCTTTAAACCAATTGATGAAGGTTTTATGGTAAAGATCCTTCAGGCCTACTCATAATGACAGTCTTAGTTTCTAAGTAGTTCTCGAGTCCTTCTAATCCGTTCTCTCTTCCAAGGCCTGAGTTCTTGTACCCTCCGAATGGAAGAGTTGGATCGAATATGTCATATCAGTTAACAAAGACGGTTCCTGCCCTGAGCCCATTTGTTAGATGGAATGCTCTTCCAATGTCATTTGTAATTACTCCAGCTCCTAGCCCATAATCAGTGTTGTTAGCTCTCTTGATAACATCGTCATAATCAGAGAACTTAAGGATCTGCATAACTGGGCCAAAGATTTCTTCCTTAGCAATGGTCATGTCATCTTGGACGTCAGCGAAGACGGTTGGTTTTACGAAAAATCCTTTACCTTCATACTCTTCACCACCGGTAAGACAAGAGGCTCCTTCTTGTTTTCCTTTTTGGATGTATCCCCAGATTTTATCTTGTTGTTCTTTGGATATTTGTGGGCCTTGTGTTGTGTTAGGATCCAGACCATTACCAAGCACAGCTTTAGAAGCAAGCTTCGCAGACTTTTCAGCAAATTCATCATAAATCTTTTCATGGACAAACAGTCTTGAAGCAGCAACACAAACTTGTCCTGAGTTGAAGAATAATGCAAAGTTAGCTTGCTGGATCGACTCTTCAATGTTGGCATCTTCACAGATAATAAATGGACTCTTTCCACCAAGTTCAAGAGTGACTCTTTTGAGGCCTAATGTAGAGCTATTTCTCATGATGTCAAGGCCAACTTCAGTCGATCCTGTAAAAGCAACTTTATCAACTCCTGGATGTCTGACTAAGTGTGCACCGGCATCTTCTCCAAATCCAGACAAGATATTGACAACACCATCAGGGAACCCAGCCTCTTTGATGAGTTCTCCGACTCTGAGAGCTGAGAGAGGAGTTTGTTCAGCAGTCTTCATGACAACTGTGCATCCAGCAGCTAAAGCAGGTGCAAGTTTCCATGCTTGCATTAACATTGGCACATTCCAAGGAATGATTTGAGCAGCAACACCAACAGGCTCTTTTCTTGTGTAAGCATGGAAGTTTCCTGGTGCAGGAATTGTATCACCAACAAACTTATTTGCAAAGCCTGCATAATACTTATAAGTTTGATAAGAATTTGACACATCAACGATCTTGGCTAAAGTAATTGGTTTTCCATTATCTAAAGCTTCTAAATGTGCTAGTTCTTCTCCATTTTTCTTTATCAACTCTGCTAGTTTGAACAAAAGATCTCCTCTTTCAGTCCCGCTCATTCTCCTCCATGGACCGTGATCAAATGCCTTTCTAGCTGCATCGACAGCCCTATCCACATCGTCGACTGACGCTCTTTGGACACTAGTGATTGGTTCTTCAGTATAAGGGTTGATAGTCTCGAAAGTATCTCCATTAGCTGAGTTAACCCACTCGCCACCAATAAACAGCTGAGTCTGCTTCGGCACCATTCTGGTTCCAAAGAAACGCTTCGAATTTCTGAAGGAAGATCTTGCCAACATCTTTAAGAAAATAGATATCAATAGTCTCTACCTCAGGTGGGGTTTTGGGGTTTTGGGGTTTTGGGG